CTTCCACAAACCTTGGCCAGGGACACCACTCCTACCCCCTGGCTAATAGCACTCCATGGACCCAACCTCCATGACTTGATCTCACTTCCCTTTAAACTCTGTTCTAGTTCTAGCCTTCACAGCCTCCTGCAGCAAGGAGTTCCACAGGTTGACTCTTTGCTTTGTGAAGAACAACTTTCTGTTACTAGTTTGAAGCCTGCTACCCATTCCTTTCCTTTGGTGTCCTCTAGTCCTTCTTTATGGGAACTCAGGAAGAACTTTTCTGAATGCACCCTCTCCACCCAACCCCTGCTTTTAGAGACCTCTATCCTGTCCCCCCTCCGTCTCCTCTTTTCTAAGCTGAAAAGTCCCAGTCTCTTTAGCCTATCTTCATATGGGACCTGTTCCCAACCCCTGATCATTGAAGTTGCCCTCCCCTCTCCCACCCTCTCTCTTCCCCTCTCCCACCTCCTTTTCCCAGTCTCCCCCAGTTTTGTTCAATAAAGACAGATTCCATTTTTGAACACAATTGTCCTTTATTTTGTACATCAAGAAAAGGGGCTAGGGAAGGGTAAGTGGAAGGAGGTGAGGGAGGAATGGGGTACGAGCCCCCGATGGGGAGGACTGGGCTGGCTCTGCGGGCTTCTGGGGGTGGAAGCTCTCCTGCAGCCCCCCGATTGTCCCCTCTCCCCAGATGGCCGCCTGCGCCAAGTGCAGCCGGGCTGATGGCCGAGTGCTGTGATGTGCCCAGTGTGGGTACTCCGGGCAATCCAAGCCAGGACTGCTTTGCAAGCGGGGCACCCCTTAGAACTGTCTGTCCGGGGTGGGGGTCGGGATCCTTTAAGCGCAGCCCTCGGCTAGCCTGAGACAGCATCTTCACGCTCTAAGTCCTCCTCTGATGCCCTGCCGGCACTGCTTCCGGCCATCCTTAAGCTCTGTTCAGGGTCCACTCAATGTGGACTTGCTAGTTCGAATTAGCAAAACGCTAATTCGAACTAGTTTTTAGTTCTAAACGCGTTAGTTCGAATTAGCTTAGTTCGAATTAACTAATTCGAACTAAGTTAGTTCGAATTAACGTTGTAGTGTAGACGTACCCTTAGTTTCCTAGTTTTTCCTAGAGGTTCAGTCAGGATGTGGCAATAGAAGCACAACATAGTGAGCAGTCTGGTAAAACAAAGAAGAAAAATGCTCATCACTGCTCTGAGTTCATAGCCTGAGAGGAAAGAACTCAGCCATTTCACTGATTTCCCATCATGGGCAATGGAAGGTCACCCATCAGCAGGATGTGTTAGCCTCGAACTTGACTGGGAGGACCTGCTATTGGTAGCGGATGGGCATAGTTGGAGACAACCCTCTTTAGCTTGTGGAGTCTGTATTGACTCAGACTTCCTGTGATCAGAACCTCTTGCATGAATGATGGGAGAGAAGAGAGATGTTTGCAGTCATGTGTTTCATGGGGGGATTCTCTTGCTTTGCCTCCTGGATTGGGTGGTATGTTCTGTGAAACAGGTTGGCATCTCCTCATCGCAGGTTGTGCAGTTTACCAGAGCACGACAAAGACAATCTGGTTGGATGGAGTGATTTAATACCCTGTAAAAAGTTCTTCTGGATGTGACTCAGTGGGTGAAGGGAAAATTATCTCTTTGCTTCAATACAGCTAAGTGGTAACATTGGAGGAAATCTCTGTGCTGAAATCCCTAGATTTACACTGTCAGCATTCACATTCTCCTACTGTCTGCTTTATCCATGGCACGATGCCCAAGAACCAACATTATTTCTGAGGCCAGTGCATTTATGTGCCAATGTCTCCACAGTTGTGAGCAGGTGCAGAATACACAGTGGTAAATATACTAGCAGTCTGTCTGTCCTGGGTTTGTACTAGTACTAGAGCAATGGCGAGACAATTAAATAACCCCCTCTCCAGTATATACTTAGGGTATATCTACACATAACTGGAGCTGTGATTGCCGTTTAGCTATGTATTCCTGTGCTAATTTTAATTTAGCAAGCTTGGCCAAAAATAGCATTGAAGATGTGGTGACACAGACTGTGATATGGGCTGCACAAGCCTGCCAGGAACCTAAATTAAGTACTCACCTTGCAAGCCAGTGTTGGAGTATGTGCCGCCACATCTTCATTGTTGTTCTGAGCTGTGCTAGCTAGATTAAAATTTGTGTGTGTGCGCTACAGGGTCTGTACATTGAGATGGGAACAAGTCTTTGTGCATCTGTGAAATGGGAATAACAGTAGTTTCTTACTCTCACAAGAGGGTGATGAGGTCACAGTGGATCAGAGAGAAGGCACTGTAAAAGTGCTAAATATTATTTTATTACATATATGATCTTCTTTGAGACAGCTAAGAAGATTAACAAAGTTATTAAAATAAAGATTAGCTAAATCCAGGGAAGAGAAAACAGTGCTCTGCTTATAGGACCAGAAAACCTTTACATGAGGTGTGATACTTAAACATTTATCACAACACTTGTTTCTGAAAATGCTTTTGTTAAAAAATAGGAGCTCTGACCCAAACAAGCCAAACAGATGTGCTCACAAAATGTATCAGATTAATTCAATTGTAAATTAATTTTCAGTTTTAATTAATTAGTTTTTCTACGGTATCTGTGAAGATGTTCATTAGTTACCTGCAGCACCAAAAGTAACAATAAAACCTCACAGTAAGACTTTTATCAAGGTTGTTTGACAGGAAATGAGGCAGTTACAGAATCTTCCGCACAAAGAGAAATCTAGTTAACCTTATAAATAAGGTCCACTAAATCCTGTAGCAAACTGCACTTAAATTCACCAGTGAGGTTCTGCAACACTGGGGTGAGGCAGCAGACAGTTCTACAACCAGTGCAGTATCCCTGTATTGGTTACATTGGTATGAAATTGATGTGATTTTACAGGGTCCCAATGTTTCTTAATGTGACACATGCTTTTCGTTTGAATGCTGAATGTTACAAAAAAACCAACAAGAAACTAATTATAAGCAGATTTTCTCAGCCCTCTCCCCAGATATAACATCTTAACCTTTGGCAGCCTTTTAATTGTGTTTAATATCATTCAGGCATCTTTACTGGACTGATGCTGGGACAAATCGAATAGAGGTAGCAAAGCTAGATGGACGGTACAGAAAGTGGCTTATCTCCTCTCTACTGGATCAACCAGCAGCTATTGTTGTGAATCCTAAGCTTGGGTAAGCATTTCAGGACCTCAAGGAGTGCAATACCATGCAGCAAGCAAGACAGACCACACCAAAGACCCATAGGAGAGCTTTTACCTCAGTAGCTGAAAACACTATGAAGGCTGAAGGCTATGTGTTGCTGTTGTCCCTACACATTCCATTTATTTCTGTTTCTGTCCTCATGCTGACTGCAGAGGATTTTTAAATAATGGAATATATTTAAGAGAGATCTGGTTTGGTGTAACAACAGGAAATCAGAGGTCAAACTGTTGTGTTTCAAAGAACCAACATTATCTCTGAGGCCAATGCATGTATGTGCCAATGTCTCCACAGTTGTGAGCAGGTGCTGAGTACATAGTGGTAAACACACTAGCAGTCTGTCTATCCTGGATTTGTACTAGTACTAGAGCAACGGTGAGACAATTAAATACTCCCCTCCAGTATATACTTAGGGTATTTCTACACATAACTGGAGGTGTGATTGCAGTTTAGCCATGTATTCCTGTGCTAGTTTTAATCTCACTAGCCTGGCCAAAAATAGCCCCAAAATATGACACTGGCTCCTTAACATACATCACAGAACACCATCACAAGATCTCTTTCCTACAACTCTGCCTACCTGTCCTATAATCTTGACTCAAGAATCAAGAAAAGCTGTGAGAATATCTTCCTATTTATTCAAGCTGCGAGAAACAAAGAAGCATCATCATTTTCCTTTTTTATTATTTATTTTGGCCTAACCAGACTACCCTCACTTTGTATTCAGCATCACATAAGACTGTGGTTCCCAACCTTTTTTTATACTGGGGACCGGCAAACCCATTCACAAACTTTTGGTGGATTAGTACCATTCTATTTGCATATTTGTGTATTAATTATGCACATGATGAACGTGCAAATAAAATGTTACCGGTACACCAAATACCTTGGTCCCCAGAGACCCCCAACCTCCACTATTCCCTAGTGCCAGCCCTAACCTCTAGAGCCCCCCACCCCTCCACTATTCCCCAGTGCCAGCCACTGACCCCAGAGCCCCTGCACCCAATCCCCCCATTGCCAGCATCCCACCCTCAGAGTTCCCCAGTGCCATTCCCCCATTCCAAACGCCTCAGTGCCAGCCCCCTGCCTCTTAAAATCTCCCACCACCAGACCCCCTCAGTGCCAGCCTTCTTTTTCCAGAGCCGCACTGCACCCCCCTCAGAATTACCCCCATACCAGCCCCCAATATTAGCCCCATCCCCAGAGCCCTCCAGTGCCAGCATTTCCTCCACTCCCCCACTACTAGCCCCACCCCAAGAGCCTCCCAGTGGCAGCTTCCCACCCCAGACACCCCAGTGCCCCCCAGTGCAAGTTCCCTGCCTCTTAGAGCCCTCCACCTCCAGAGCCCCCCAGCACTAGCTCTGCCCCTGCAGCTACCCCAGTGTCTGTCCCCCTCACCTAGCCATGCACTGCCTCCCAGCCACCAGTTGAACACGGCTGCCCGGGTCGTGGCTGCTCTTTCTGTGTCTCTGAAAAGACCCTGCCCCTTCCCCATGCTGGCTGGCTGAGAGGTGGGGCAGGATATACCTCTCTTAACAGCCATGGAGGGAGGGGAGGCACTGAGTGGTATATCCCAGTTCCAGCCCCCAGAGTCGTGGCACAGCAGGCCGCAGACCAGCAGTTGGGAACCACTTACATAAGACACATAAATAAGGTCTGATCCAGCAAAGCACAGTTCTTCCCCCTTCTCTTCCTTTGCAGGGTAAGAAGTAAATTACTTTTCTCCATTTTGGGTTCAGCTTCTCTTATGCTTCTCCAGCTCTGAGGGTGTGCTGGATGGTGGAGCCCTATCTCCATCCACTTCTTGTTCCTTCCCATCCTTTCTGTATCCCCTTGCTCACAGGGAATAGCATCAGTATGCAGCCCATAGGTGGTCCCCCTAAATTCAATGCAACTTCTTGTATGAGTAAGGACTGCAGCTGCTCTGCACTGTTTATCTTTGCTGCAATTTTCATTACATATTAAATGGGAAGCAGTATAAAATACACTGGCATATTGAACAACTGTGGGTGATGCATGTCACAGGACAAACACTCAGCTGGGGAGAATTGGTGTAAGTCCATTGAAGCCAAAGGAGCTGTATTGAGTTATATCAGTTGAGGATGTCACCCAGTGGAGGCAGCTGCAAAACCTTTTTTCTGAATGACCCAGTTAGCATTGCTTCTGCAGCAGCCCCCTTTCCAACTGAATGCTCCAAATACGGAAACTCTCCTTTCATGTTTATTTTCCATTGTATTCATTTCTAAAAATTTGCTTATCAGTTGAGCCCTGTGTATGTTTCTCCTCATCCCAATATGCAGATCAGGAGGAACAAAACAGCCTATTTAATGGGTCTGATAATTTAGTTATTCAGTGACGACAAAAAAAAAAAAAAAAAAAAAAAAACCCCAGCCACTGAATTCTAAACCATTTTAAAATCTAGTTATACTCTTGTAGGCTTTTGTATTGGACTGACTGGGGGAGGCAGCCAAAGATTGAATGTGCCTGGATGGATGGACAGCAAAGGAAAACACTGGTTTCTGAAGACCTTGGCTGGCCCACAGGCCTTTCTATTGATTATCTCAACAATGACAGGCTGTACTGGAGTGATTCTAAGGAAAATATTATTGAATCCATGAGACCAGATGGAACAGACAGAGCCATTGTATTACGTGGAGGTAGGAAATTAACATGAATGTTAATAATATGTTCCTGATCTAAAAAATTAATGTGAATGTATGGCCAAATTTTCAAGTCTGCAGTCCTCACAGTTGGTTCCAGATTTAAAAAAAAACCTCAACTCCCAATTAAGCACCTTATTAAGACCCAGCCATGAATGCGTGGAAATGACTGTGCAAGGTGATGGAGAATTAGGTCCACTGTGATTTGAATTGCTTGAGCAAAACAGAGAGAATATGGCACAAGCTGGATGGATTATTGCTTTTTTGTGTGTGTTATTACACAGTTTGCAAGTACCGTGGCCTGCTCCTTTTAGTCATGCAATGACATTTTCAGCAATACCAGTGTGAGTGGCTAATGAATAAAATATTTGATTCAAGAAGAATAGGTGGCTCATTAGTACTGCTAGGGATTATTTGCTAACTGATCATTATTTTGTTCTTTTGAGAAGTCAGCAGTCCGTACAGCCTTGATGTCTTTGAAGGTCATTTATATTGGATTTCTAAGGAAAGAGGTGAAATCTGGAAGGAAGATAAATTTGGAAATGGAGAAAAGGTTAAAGTGCTGACTGTAAACCCTTGGCTCACTCAAGTGCGCATCTATCATCAGCATAGATACAATCTGTCAGGTAATCACCTGCCTTGGATGTTCTGTCTCCTTTTATTTGGAAACTGCTATCCCAGATCTGAAACAATGTCTTCAGAAGCTAAGTAATAGTCTGGGAATGGGCAGTTCTCTCAGCACATGAAGTACATATTTCTAAAAGCATAAAGCTAGAACTCTGATTGACAAGTGTGATACTGAGATAGACAGGCAGATGGACAGACAGAGAGGGGAACATATAAAATAAAACAGGGTTTAAACACAGCATTTCTCTTTTGGAATCATTTGGTACAACATTATGACTGAGTCCATTTTCCCTCTCCCCCTGCAGAGCATTTTTCTACTGGCTCCCTGTGCCAAAGTCTCTCCCCGCTGCTGGAATCCTTCACTGCAGCAGGGAAGGGCTGCAACAGCAGGGAGCTAGCAGAAAGAAGCAGGCATTGCAGCTGTACCTTTAGTTGGTGTGCTCCACAGTGCTCAGACAATGGAGATGCTCTGTTCCTTCACCTCTTTGTGCACTTGGCTCTAAAGTAGTGTTTCTCAAGGTGCATCGTGGGCCTACTTTGAGAAAGCTGCTAACAGGCCACTCCGCTTTGTTTATCTAAAGGCTCCACAGCCACGGAGCCTCCCAGGTTTTATTGGCTCTGGTTGGCCAAAGTGGAGCGGCCTGTTTGAAGCTTTCACAAAGTGGGCCCACAGCCCACTTTGAGAAACACTGCTGCACGCTGTAATTTAGCCCTTATAATGAATATAAAATACACTATATATGTCATGCAGGTTGTTTTACATGTAAAAAAACCACTCAGTTTAGAATGTATTACTATAACAGTTATGAGCTACTTTGTTGACAGGTGGTACCCCCACTCTTTTATAAGTCTCAGAAATAAAGCTAGAAGGCTTCTCTAGTTAACCTTTGTCACATCTGTATTTCAGTGCCTAATCCTTGTAAAGATGTCTGCAGCCATCTCTGCTTGCTGAGACCAGGGGGATACACTTGCGCTTGTCCACAGGGGGCTCGTTTTATAGAAGGCAGCACCACAGAGTGTGATGCAGGTAGAGTGAATTGTCCAACCGCAACTGGAACAATTGACTGAGTAGAATTTGCCTTTAATATGTCATTCTGATTTGGAGGGGGAATGTATATATATTTTCCACGATCAATAAAGCCATTCTTGAATTAAAAATATAAGCTGGGAAGAAGATGTTTCAGTGGTCAAACCATGAGCCCTGAAGCCAGGACATGTTAATTATACAGTATGTCAGTTATATCACTGACTTGCTTTCACTTTAGACAGGTCACTTCCCTTCTTTGTACTTCAGTTTATCCATTTGTAAAGTGGATATAACAACACCATTCCTATAAAATCCACCAGGTTTCAGATATATATGTGAAACAGGCTGTGGTTCATAAAAACTGTTAGTTAAACACACTGCTATCTCCAGAGACCCCGGCAAGTTCTCCTGAATAAGTTGAGCTAGAACTCCAGAACCTTATATCCTTGAACTTTGGCGAAATTAGGATCCAAATGTGGATGTAAACTTTATAGCCTTGGTTAAGTTCAGTGTACATTATAGCTATAGCCAAGGTACCAAGTTAAAACATGGATACAGATGGAGTGTAATCTAAAGCTGGCATGGGTAGTGGAACATTCTTCTGTATGAAAATGCCACTTTGTTGAAAGCAAAATGTTTCACAGGAACATTTTAATTTTGGCAAACTTTTGAGTTTTTCGGGGGATGGGGAAACAGAACAGAGCCTTCTGATAAGGTCTAAATGTTGTCTTTTGGCCTTTCTAAAACAGAGCATATTGCTTTTCTGTTTCAAAATGGCTTTTTGGTTAATTTTTTAAAGTGGTATATAATATTTTTAAATTTTATATAATTTTTAAAAAATATTACATAATATTATATAATGATTTAAACATCAAAATGAGCACAAAACTTCAATTTTATCAAAAACATTTCAACCCCAAAACAATTCCTTTAAAACAAATTCTTTCTTTGATTAACTGGAATTTTGGTTTCATTCTGTTTTGAATTTGAATTTTAAATTATGGAATTTTGCATGAAACAGAAAATCCAGTTCCCACTGAGCTTTATTAACACTCAATAACTGGGCTAACACGTAGGCAATCCAGGATTTTGACCTGGCTAATAAATATGATTGGCATCAACTACACTTCAAGTTTATGTTAAGGGCAATTAGTTTTTTGAATTCTGTTTATAAACCATTTGTGTGTATACCTTAGTGTAAATAGAACCTTAAAAACCTAGGAATATGAATCGGTATTTGACAAGATGCAGATTATGTTTACGAATCTGTGCATTTTTTCTCTTGAGGTGCTAAGTAAACATTTTTGTACAGTACACATGCGACAGGACACAAAGCTCAAAATACATCTAGAGGTCATTTACAAGTAATTGGCATAGAATGCATACTTTTAAAATATAAGCATTCAGTGCTCTGTTATATAATTGCAACCAGACCCCACAGTGCTTCCAGGAGCACCAGGGATGCACAGTTGCTTTACCTTCATTGAATACCCATTCACAGGGGTACAGAGAGGCAAGGGGCCCATGAGCAGACTCCCATCTCTTTCCATCCTCAATAGATAAGATGGGGGCAGTATTCAAGGAAAGTCCTTTCAATTTATGGGCATGATGGCTGCCATTTTACTCAGCTGCTAACTGAGGTTCCAGGTGTTCTCTTCTTTGTACATTCATGGAGTCTGGGTTGTGGTATGGTCTGGTTGATAGCACCTTATCACAAAAAAAAAAAATACAAAAGATGACGCATACATATCCTAGTCTTATTTGAACCTTGGTGGGCAATATCTGTAATAAAGTGGTCTTTGTGACACTGAATTTGGATGAAAAGAGTGAAATAATTTAAACTCCTTGGTCAGTGATTGCTGGTAGTGGTACCCTCTTGAGTCATGCCTAGCAACATTGTACAAAGCAGATTCCTGCAAATTGTGGGAGCTGATACCAGATACTCAGAAGGTTAAAAGGCAGTGTAATTTGATCTATCCCAATATATAGAACAGAGACTTAGCCAGCCACAAGAAAAGAAATCAGAATGCTCTGCACTCTGATAATAAAGATATTTAAATGGTCAAATAGCTGGATGCTGTGTGATAAGCAGCTATATGAGATTGTGAAAGTCCTACTGAGAGTTTTTCCAATTGAAGACAAGTTGAAGGATCTAATCCATATTAGTCTGTACATGCCTAGCAGAGACACTAGAGTTATATTGGTAAACCCTCGCAGTGATCATGGACATAAGATGACAGAAGGGGAGGTCAAAGATCCAGTTCATGAACTGTATATCAGTGGATGTTACACCAGTTTGTCTGACAGTCAGGTGTAAAATCATGAGTTTTGGAAGAAGTCTATAAAAGTTGCCAACCTTTGATATGGAAATGGCAAGATAGAAGAAGAGTTAATCTGTCTGCTATTAATTGTAATAGTCTTTTTGCAGATCACTGTTTGACAATTTCACAAGCTAATAGCACCTCTGATAAACATTTAGTCAATACACTACAGTACTTTGGCCTATTATTGTCGCAAGATGCTAATTAAACATTAAGTATTGGATCATCTGCAGTCAGGCCAAATAGATATTTCATTTTATCACTGCATGTCATTAGTATCTAGCACAAGTTTGTTTTGAACTTTGAAGCAACAACCTTGCAAATTGCTTTAGCTACATCTTATGACAGTGATTTACTGTTTATTGCTCACAGCATCTGCATTTGTTACCCTTGATTAAACTGCTTTGAATAATCTGGCTAGGAATGAAGAAAAACAGGTCAAGATTTTATTTTGGAAAAAAATAATTGCACAATAAAACACATTTTACAATATTGAGCCCAGAAACTCTCTATATTCTATTTGTATTTACAATTTTATCTTAAGCTTTAATACCTAAGTATACAGTGGGGCTTAAATATTTAATTATCATATCTGTAAGATATAATTTTGTTTGTTTTTACCATTTCCCTCAAATTAAGGCCTCTAGTTGGAAGCAGAGCCTTAGCTCCAAATCTGGGATCCCTATTTAAGCTCATGAGTAGGAGTTTTACTTAAATAAAGGTTTCAGGAATGTACATGTTGTGATTTCTGATAGGCAAAACTTTTATGGTCCATATACTATATCTAGATTGTAAGTGTAAAGAAGAGCGAGCCAAAATGCATCTTTCACTTATAGACTGTAAAAACATAAAGAATTCAGACCTTTTCCATAATATTTGTACCATGCTTTTTAGGGTATATATTTCTTGAAATTCTAGTTACAGCCATTAAATTATACTTTACAGAACCATACTCTCTTTTTGAAGATCTTAATTTGTTTCAATATCAAAACATCTTAAGAATTTCTGTAGGTTTCTCTTTTTTTAAAAAAAGTACTAATCCAGTATTATATTGATGTGTTTCTGGTTCAAGTCAAGAAATATTGCAGCCTAAGGAGGTACCTGAAAAATGATTGAAACACTAGCATGATATTTAATGGACTCCAGTGTGCTCCTAATTAGGAGTAGAGGTTTCTGCCTCTTCTTTAAAAGCGTATTTCCATCCACTATTGCCCTCATTCTCTCCAAAAATAAATGGCATCTTTTCTGTAGAAATCACTTAATGACCGTCCCTATGGGACTAAGATGAGCTTGGGACAGAGGAAGTGTAATAATGTTGCATTCTGAATTTTGAGCCCTGCAGACAGGGAACAGAAAATTGGCTTTACCTAGCCTTGCTATGTCTGTAACTTTCTACTTTCCAGTGTTGGAAGCACATAATGCAATGTCCAACAATTTGCATTACATATCTTCATTGCATATAACAGGGAAAATGTTGAAATCTCCACTTTTCTTAATGTTGCTGATCCATTTTTACTGAAGATCCCCTTATTTTGCAAGAACAGAAGTTTTACCTGGATTCAAAACTGTATTTTGGCAGGCAGTAAATACAGTAATGGCCTACATCTCTGTCATTAAGAGCAATATTTTTAAAAAGCTGCATCTGAGGGTACGTCTAGACTACATGCCTCTGTCGCCAGAGGCATGTAGATTAGGTTACCAGACACAGTAAAATGAAGCGGCGATTTAAATAATCGCCGCTTCATTTAAATTTACATGGCTGCTGCGCTGAGCTGACAAACAGCTGATCAGCTGTGCGCGTCCAGACTACCACGCTGAGCCGACAAACAGCTGATCAGCTGTTTGTCAGCTCAGCGCAGCAGCCATGTAAATTTAAATGAAGCGGCGATTATTTAAATCGCCGCTTCATTTTACTGTGTCTGGTAACCTAATCTACATGCCTCTGGCGCCAGAGGCATGTAGTCTAGACGTACCCTAAGTTTGAATTTTAAAATGTCAGCACATACTGAATTTGGATAGTTGCATGCACATAATTACAAGCCTGGTTGAAATTTGGGCCTGACAGTAAATTTTTAAAAATTGCATGGTACCATATGCTTTGCTGAGTATGGCTTATTAACACATGCATGGCTTTCCATTTCTGCAGCCATTGAATCCCCTCCAACAATGCCACCAGCATGTAGGTGTATGTATGGAGGAACATGCTATATTGATGAAAATGATCTTCCCAAATGCAAGTAAGTCAATATTGCAGTGGTTTAGGTCAGAGTGTGCAGACTGAGCATCATGTGAGGGTTCAGTTCTAATACAAGCTACTATAAACTGCAAATCTGGTTGAAAAGCGGGAAAGAACTGTAAATGCACAGAGGAATGAGCCAGCAGGTGCCGCTCATGCTCCATGGAAACCAAGTCTCCAAACTAATTTCTCTAGCTTCTGACTCAGCATTACTATCTGTCTATTTCTAAGCAGATAACAGACATATTCTCTTTACTGTCAGTGAAACATATAATTACTAAGTGAATTGAACTCTACTGCCTGGCAGTAAACATTACAAAATATAGTAATAAAGCTTACCCACTAGACTTAATAAAAGACAGACAGTCAAACTATCTTCTTATATTCCCAGGTGTTCTAATGGCTACATGGGAAATTATTGTGAAATAGGATTGTCAAAAGGAGTGCCTCCTGGAACAAGTAAGCCTCGAGTATATATTAAACTTGATAACTGAGCTAAGTCATGTGTAATGTCAGCTTAAGGTCAACTTTATACTTCCAATAGGGCTCTTTTTAACTTTGAGACATGCTTGTTTTAATATTTACTTACTCTTCTTTCTCTGGTAGCAGCAGTAGCAGTGTTGCTGACAGTCATTCTAATAATAATAATTGGAGCGTTGGCAGTTGGAGGGTTCTTTAACTACAGACGGACAGGCTCCCTCTTACCAGCACTTCCCAAACTACCCAGGTATGTTTCATAAGTCAGGTTGTTGAGAGTCTGTGTTGAAGATGTTTATATTTGTGGCTGAATGTTTCTTAGGGTATATGTCTACTATATACTAGTTCTACAGACACAAGGGAAGTGCAGGGTTCAAGAAATTCCTAAATTCTTATTCCGAAATTCTTCCAGTTAATAACAAAGCTGGTCACACCTGGCTATGAAGATTTAAGGTATTGTCACACCACTCTGCAACTAGTTTTCAGATAATAAATTTCAGATAAATAAATACAGCATGCTTTTAAACTAGATATTAGACTGGGTATTCAGTTCAGAGTTACATGAAAGACGGATGGATAAATATGCTTATTTCAGCAACTTTATCAAAGGTTGTAAGACTACAACTCAGGCAAGTTAGATATAGAAACTCTTTACGGAAGAACTCTGTCTTCTAATAGTTAATGTTGTACTGGCCTGCATGTGACTTATCAGGTGCAGATAGGCCAAATACTCACATGTTTTGTGTTTGTGAGGCAGAAGACCTATATAAGCTCGCTGAGAAGCACAGCAATCCAGTGAAACTCAACTTCATGAATTATTGTTTTGTAAAAAAGTTTGACATTTTAAAGTAAAAGAAGGGAAATGAAGAAAATACTTATAAAAAGGAAGGGGGTCAGAGCATAAGCAGGTTTTTAAACATTTCTTTGAAAATATCTTTTATTTAAAACAGTCACTATATTTTGCTTTCAAACTTAAAGTTGGTTCTTAAAGTATGGGGTGAGAAATAATACATTCAGCTTTCAGTTGCAGATCAAATTTGTGTGTATGTGCATACACAAATTTGTGGGAGAGTAGATTCCAAACCATTCTAATTAAAAAACAACAACAAACTCAGTGTGACCTATCTTGTGGACTCAGACCTAGTTACACACTTTAAAAAGTGTTTATATTGGTATGCCAAAACAAGCACTCTTTATGTATCTATTATAACTGCACCCACAATAGTGATTACTGGTACACTAATTTAATTATATTGGTTTTTGACCTGATACAGTTAAATGAGGGCAAAAACTGTTGTAGACCATCCCTGAGAGAGAGGATATTAGAGTTCTAACTATTGATTGCTGATGGTAATAGTCTCTTTCTGCACTGTTTCAAGGAAATGGTCATGTAAGTGAAAATTTAAAAACACCTGACTTTTACCAGTATCAATTTCCATGAAAATAGAGCTCACTGAATTCAAAGTTCTAAACTTTATTCCTCTAACTACTGGTTCTTATTATAAAATCTTTTTCAATGAGTATGGCTCAGCGCTAAAGTCTGTCATTGTCCAACTTCTCCTTAAGAGGCGCTCCCTATACACTACAGTGTCTCAGGATGTGAACGAGTAGTCAAGTAAATGATTAACCAAGATACCTAGGCTTATCAGTTAATCTAGTTGACTACTCGCATTCCCCCCCCCCCCCCTTTGC